TGTATCTAAACTTACTAATATCACCACTTTTTACTATTGGAATATAAAGTAGATTTCAGACCGAGAATGCATTATTCCTTTTGCAAACTCCTATTGAGAGTGTAGAATTAGCCAGAAATAGATCAGCAACAGGTAGACCTAGTAAATTCAGCATTCAAAAACCATTGCATGAGATGGTAGACATTTATCGTAAAGTCCTTGATAACAAAAGTGTTGTAAAGAGTACCATAGCCAGACTGTTTATAGATGCAAAGTATATAATGTACTTTACATCATGATTGTAATCAAGCTTTTCATGTTTGAATCTTTCAATGAATAATCTGTATTTGTAAAAGAATACAATGTATATTTTTAATATTAAATTAATTACAAGTAAAGTGATTTTGTAGATTTATAAAATTTATACAGCTAAAAAGTAATCCTGCGCTCCACTCAAAAGAAACATCACACGAGTACAATCCAACTAAACATCCGTAGTCTCATTCCACTGACGTTGCGCGAACGCAACACTCGCTTTTTGCACAGGTCAGAGCATTATTATTTTTTTATTTTTATTTTCAATGTAAATTTATGTTATAAATGCTTAATTTAATATTTGTTATTATTTTCATGAGAAAAGAAACATTCCTATAGTTTTGGCAGTTAATGGGTTAGAAACTGCACAGAATTATTGCCCTAATTTTTCCGCAGGACTGTTGCCACTCGGAAAAACAATGGCTGCTGATATAATGAGAGAGAATTATTGATTTGATGCAGTTTCGTCAAAAACATAAAATAAAAAAAGTCTCATTCGAATTTTTAAAAAATCACTTCAAGGTACACTACCTATGTACCACATTTCATTGTATTTTACTACCTCAAAACTCAATAATTATGTTATTTGTTTATAGCATGTTTAATATTATCTTGGTTATAGTGAGAGAAAGATTGTATTGGCTAGCTTGAACTTGCTCGTAAGCATTAACTTCAGATTAAGACCCCCCTCTCAATATTAGAGCCATTTGGTTCACTTACAGAAGAACCTAACAAAATAATATTACCTAGTTTTTAATGACATTCCATAATTTATCTTCCACAGACAAATCTGTTTCCATGCCATATGAAGTTAACGTGGAAGAAAATAAATGTCAGCAGTCAGAATAAAAGTAATATAGAGAGAAAGGAAACTATAATGTTTCTTAAATTATGCCAATCCTCAGTGCTAATTTTCATCTTCTTTTGAATTAAATGAAAGAACTTTAATGTTTCTGTGGTTGCAGTATTCTTTGTTATATAGCCAGTTATTTCATAAATGTTTAATTAGGGTGTCAGATAAAAGAGCAATACTTAATTTATCTGGCCATTTCAAAGTAGGAATATATTAATATATATGCAAATCAGCGGGACTCTGCAAATTGTGTATTAGCCCTGTGTGGGGGGGGGAGACAAAAATAGAGGCAGAACAGCTGTGTTGAATTTGTGAGAGAACACTGATTATAGTTGTTAAAACTCACAATTTTGTATATTGAATTGGGCAAATTTGTACCATCTGAAGTTACATACTGTATGCCAATTTGCAAGAGTTGGTGATGATATGTGCCTTTTAAGTAATCAAAATATATGTAAAAATGAGTAACTGACATTGTACTTTTTATACCTTTTCATATGCTTAACCTGTAAGTCTGTTATGTTATGCAATCCTTGATCTTTTGCATACATTTATGCTATCTTAAAATCTTTTATGAATAATCATCAACAATATAGCCCATTTGCCGTACTTGCAGTTGAGGTGTTGCTGTGAAGTACCTTGATTTAAATATGGTAGACTGTTGAAAGATGGCTGTGCATTATAATTCTGATATATCCTTTCTGTCTTGATAATGTATTCATTTTCTTTTTAGATACAAGCTGCATTAATTATATGCAATTGAGTTCTGTAATTTTCTGTTCTGTAGTTGTAATCAACATTTCATTCATTCTTTGCAATTATACTATGCAAAACTTTGATTCTTCAGCTTTATTGCATTACCCTTTTTATGACAAATGGATTTAACGAGTTGGTACTTTGTGCATTACCATAAGATTCTCATCAATACATTTAATTGTCTTTTTATTCAGTGTACTATGTTTATATACAATTCATTTACACATCTTTTCAAATCAGTCTTGTTCACCAGTTGCTCCCCCCCCTGGATTTAATGGATCTTGGATATAACCCACACTATTGTGAAAGGGTATCTATCATCAATAATAATTAGGCTAATATCAATTTAATATATTTTCTGCTGTCTATTTAAAGAAATATTTGAATTATGTCTTACTTTCTGCTGTTATGAAAATGTTTTAGGCCCAATACAAATCACAGTTTACAGCTGCTACTGACACTGCATGGAAAATGAACATTAAAGATGAAACAGAATCATCAGAACAAAAATCTGAGAAAAACAGAAAGGAAAGAAAAAGAAGCCGTTGGGATAGCTAATAGTAGTTGAAAATATTTGTTTTAATTTCCAGAATGGAAATCTGAGGTGCTGAAATCTTCATGGAAGGATTTGTATTGTATATTTGTAAATATACTTTTAGTGCTATAGTTGATATTTGCTATGTGAATAGTAATAATAATTATAAATCAGAAATTTGATTTAATAAAATATCTTTGACCATCAATATTTATTCACTAGTTTTTCACTTAAAGTCCCAATATCTTTAGGTATCATATTCCAAGACTTGCCACAGTTAGTACCAAACATTTACTCTATGTGTAATGCTCTTGGATAACGTGTAAATATGAGAAAATGATTTATGATGAATTATAAAAAAAAATAATAAAAAACTATAAATAATAAATATAATAATTTAATAAATAAAATAATAAATGCTGTCAAGTGCACTATAATTCTGCAATGCACACTTAATCTCTATGGTATTTCGTGAAAATAAAGGAATTTTTCATTTCAGTACTTTCTCTTACTAAATTAGGCTGATATTTTAGCCTAATTTAGTATAACTATAGTATCACATATAATTTCCAGGAATAACAAAACAATGAAAATCATAGTTTCCATCAAAGTGTTGCATGAGCATTGAAACATCTGCCTTTGGCAGCTGAGGTTGATGGTTTGATAAAACCATCGAAACTAGTCCTGTGAAAATTTGCAAATATAACATCTAAATTAATACTTGTTCAGCATGATATTTTATCCTAATTACAGTAATGTCTGCTGCTTTTGAATTGCAACTGAATTGTAAGATTGAGTATTTTATGATTGAAGTTGTTAATACGTTTGCATTATATCTATAAAATATCATTCGATATACAATTTGGAATAAATGTGTATAAAAGCCAAAAAAAAAAAAAAAAAAAGAGTACAGTTTCAAACTGCAAGAAAAAGGGGGTAATACATACCGACAATGAAACAAGGAATTGCAATTTTTGCTGCATCATTACTGGGGTTGGTGCAGTGAAATAAATCAGCCTGTTTTTGAGCTAACTTTATTACAAAAGATAAGATTTTATTTTTCAACAAATAATTGAATAAGGTTTTGAACATTTTTTACTATATACTTTCATTTATTTATTATTTTATATTTTAACTTAGATCATTAAATGTTCAAAGCGTACTATAGTAATTACAGAGCATTCATGTTTTTATATTTAAAAGTAATATTTATTAAAATACTGATTCCGAATACCATCCCGATAATGTTAACAGCATTTTATATGTAAAATAAATATTCAGATGATTGCCATTCACCATTACCAAATGCTACATTTGTATAATGCTGTACTGCTGATGTTTTTATGAATGACTGGTCCATAGTACATTAACCCCTTAATCTACATTGACGAGCACAGCCAGCGTATGATGGTCGGGTCAAACCTAACTTTCACGGGCTTAGAACGCGTACAGTGATCGGGCCAGAAGTGAGTATTATGCAGAATATTTGATATGCAATTACAGTCTGATGCAATAATTGTGGTAGATGCAAGCATTACAAAATGTTTATTTATACCAAACTCCAAAATACAAAATTAGTAATCTGTAACGGTATGATATATTTCAAAGCATTCTGGTACATGTAACAGAACTTTACACTTTTTACACTCGTGTTCTATGTGGATTTTCTCGTACTTGATCTGCATACTGATTCGTTTCGGTTACAATATTGTTCCAAAATATGACATCAAATATTAGATTAAATATATCAAGTTCTCTTCTACTTCCTCCTAACTGACATAAGGCTTCCTCTCTTATGCCAGGAGTCATCGTCTAGTCCCAGATTTTTGGACTATTTCTTATTTCTTTCTAAAGCCAGGACTCCGGTAGTTGATCGTAATCGGATGTATCATCAATAATTATTCGCCTATACTTTCTTCGAAAATTACAATTGTTCAAATGTCCCGAACACTGCTTCGGCCCAACATCTTCGAATCTAAATCGTAGGTTAAGGGGTTAACAGTGGTTCAGCTCCGAGAAACTGAACTTAGCTGAATGATATATTTCTTTTTTTCTTTGAAAATGTCCAAAGTCACAACTTATAAATAAAATGTATCTTGGAAAAGTACATGTAATATTACTTTAACCTATCATCACATTTAACACTGCAAACTTTTAATGTCTTTTTCATAAACCTAAAATTTGCAAAATCAAAATCATAAGCATGTCTTAAAAATTTGATTAATAAAATAATTTTTGGCACAGTATGGTATTTTTTATTAGAATAATGTGAATATGGATCATGACTTATAAGGAATAAACTTTTTTTATACATTACATTTTTGAAAGTTTTTAAAATCTGCATATATTACAGCTGTTCAGCATAAATCAAGTTTTCTACGTACATTAATCTAATCATGATTAAGCCTGTAATAAATAATTGGCACATATTTGAATATTTTAAAGATAATTATATAGTACAATATAATTTTTATATTAAAACCAGTTTTAACTGACCAAAGATTACTACTTGGATTTTTTTTATATTTTTCAAAAATTGCCATTTTTTCTGTGAATGATTATCCTGAGCAAACTATTCATCAAACACATACTGCGACAACATTCATAAGCATTTGATAAAAAAATATTGAAAACAAATATTGCTTAATATCCACTGTACAACCAAAGGCATAAATACTGTACTCCAGGTTTATACATCAACAACCAAGCTATAACAGCTATATATATAAAATGAATGCTCTCTGGTAAAATGTAATGCAGACATAGTCTATTTCACTTCTCCAAAATAAATATTTAAGAGCCAAGCTTTTGTCACCTACACAGTTTAAATATGTTTGTAAACAGTGGCTGATTTTCACACTGCGAGGAGACAACACAGCAAAGAGATGATGCTGGCGGAACCAAACACACTGATTGGTGGTCCCACATAACTTAATGAGCATGCAAATCAGTAAAAGGGTTTCAGTGAATCAGAGTTCGTGGATTATTCATGTGATGTTTAGTCTGTTCATAGGAAGGATATCTCTGGTAGTCTTCTGGAATATCAGAATATTGGGCAACTGAATAGGCTGGTGGAGCATCACAGCTTGCAATGACCTAGAAAAAGATTTTGGATTAAAATCCCATTTTATAATAATTACCTTTCAGACATAAATATGAAGAATAATGGTAATTTAAAAACTGAAATTTAACACTGGCTATAAAACATTGTTAATTAATATGACTAGTCTCTGAGTAATATCAGAGACTAATTTTTTTAATAGTCTGACACATTATTAAAAGGTCAAGCCATCTTGGACATCTTTAGTATAATGAATAGTGAATACCAACTGCTATCCTGAAATGAAGGGTTGGCTCTTGTGTAAAGCTTGGTTACATGTAAGTGTTCTCCTCTCCCACTTCGTAAGTGTAATATTAGTCTATTCTCCGTGGGACACATTCTCAGTAATGAGACAGCTAAATGAATAATGAGAGCAAGTGTATCTGGTCATTGAAAAAGTCACATATATGTATACATAAAATTTATTTACTGAAGTAATATTGAGTATATTATCTCCTAAAAGTTTTTTTTAAAGAAAATTAATAAATTTTAATCATGAAATATACAAATGTGATTTTTTGTTTTGAAATAAAAATTAATAAACTAAGTAATTATCATCATTGATAGGAAATTGGTTGACTTTGTAAGGGGAACAAACCAACTCCCATATATTTAACAATAATAAATAAATACGAAGGTACGTCATTTACTCAAGTAAGAAGTATGACACCAAACCGGCATTTGAGTTTAAGCTAATCTTGTGAGTTGTGTCTTAATCCAAATTAGTGAGATTAAAGAATTCATCATAAATGCAGCAGTTCTGTTAAGTTTATGAAATTTTTAGAAATCTTGAGAGATTATTTTCAAATTGAGTAGTGATAATAACATTTCTCTGCTAGATTTAGTAGTATTAAAATTTTTTTCCGAAATTACTTGAGTGAAGTGTTCCCCCGACACCCTCGCTTTCATGCACGTTAATTCAAAGCTATTTGTATAAGCATTTAATCTTTGCCAAATTTATTCAATAAAATTCAGTTATTTTTATAAACATAATAAACAATGCTTATCAAAATTAATGAAATAGAAGTAGAAAAATTAAAAGAAGGTATCATTTTTTCCTTATGAATTATTTATAAATAATATTTAAAAGCATATTAGTTAATAATAAAATTAAGTTTTTTTTATAACATAATAAACATGTTATCAAATATGAATAGAAGTTGAAAATTAAGAAGTATAATTTTTCTTATACGTATTATAAATAATATATTATAAAAAATGATATAATATATATAGAAGGCTAAAATATGAATTAATTAACTTTTGTTCTTTCGAGTGGGAGGACTGTGAAGTTTTTACGTCTGTATCATTACTCAATTTGGAAATAATATCAAGATTTCTAAAAAATTCATAAACTTAACGGAACTGCTGCATTCATGATGAATTCTTTAAACTCACTAATTTGGATTAAACTCAAATTGCCAGTTTGGCATCATTCTTCTTACTTGAATAAATGACGAAATTACTTGAGTAATGAACTTTGCATTTATTAATTAATGTTAATTGAACGAGAGTTGGTTTGTTCCCCTTGAAAAGTCAACCAATTTTGAATCAATAACAATAATTACTTAGTTTATTAATTTTAACCCCCTCAAATTACATTTCTATAGTTCATGATTAAAATTCAGTTTCCTTTAAAAATACTTTTAGGAGATAATACACTCAATATTAATTATTATATTACTTTGCAGGTATTGCACAAGTATTAGGAATTTTATTTTGGTTTGAATGAATTTCAATTAATTCGATCTTTGATATATATATATAATCATTTCTAAGTACTCATTACCATACCTTTCAATATGATTCAGACTTGTTTGATTAAAAGAATAATTAGAAATATAACAATATGTATATTTTAGGCTAATGAAGATTATCTGCTGTCAAATGGCTGAAACGCTACTTTTTTTTTAATAAAATAAAATGTAAGATTTCTCTAAAATTACTGGAAATTTTCTCCAACAGTTTTCACCTGTACTTGCTGAGTATGATGTTTAGTTAATTTGGGCATGTACAAAAATCTTTTCATCATGTGACACAGAAAACCATATTTCATCCATACTATTTTCAGTTTCTTAATTCCTTTAATAACTTCTGGGAAATACTCA